CAAGACCAGACTAATGTCTCAGACCAACATATCTAGTCAGACATATGCGATGCCGAAGTGGCAGTACAAGTCGGCATTTGATGCAGCTCAGCAAATTTATCGCAATGAGGGCATATTAGCCTTCTATTCAGGTTTAACACCGGCCCTTCTCGGCCTATCGCAGCTTGCAATCCAATTTCCTCTTTACGAGACGCTAAAGAGAGGACTAACAGGGTCAGGGCTTGGTGAAATCAAAGACTGCCAAAATAAAACCTCGGGGATTATAGCCGCCGGATTCCTGAGTAAGATAGTTTCCACGTCTTTGGCGTACCCTCACGAAGTTATCCGAACACGGCTTCAAACCCAGCAGATTTTGAAATCTTCTACACCGTTATACCAACGGTATACAGGGATTGTGCAAACCGCCCGAACTATTTGGTTGGAAGAGGGGTGGCATGCTTTATATGCAGGCTTCGGGACAAATTTGATGCGAGCTGTACCAGCCTCGATAGCCACCATGTTGGTCTACGAGAATATGCTCAGTAAATTAACTGAGCTTAAAGCCAATGGGGAAAGGAAATTGGGTTGGTAAAGCTGTGTCAAGTAACAATTTGCACTGAGGCGGTGCTACCTGGCCACACCCTATACAGCTAACCAACCTATGCTACTATTTTTAGCAGTTAGTACGGTGCAACAAGGACATTGCTGTTTCCAAGTACAGCAATACCATGCTGACTGCCCTACCGAACGTAGCACATACGGGAAGTGTTTCTGAAGTTTCATACGAGCTAGACTCCGTATGCACACCCGTTTTGACCTATAGAGCAATCTAAGTACCGTTCGTCCAGAAACAGCGTTAACTCCTTGATATTTTGGTGTGTACAGATAGAGGAATAGCCCAGCATGATGAGCATATGCAGTATCACTACCACTGAATAGCCACGTAATACAGTCAAAGTCTATTTATATTATAGTATCCGCTTCGAGAGAGCCGATGTGTGGCGGCATGAATGGAGGTATAACCATTTCTGAAACTTCCTAGTGTAGACCATATTGTGCTGCAATCGCCATCTTGCATCTTAAAATAATAATAATAACAATAATGTAGCCACGTCAAATGCAGATTTAGTGGCCGCCCCAGTGCTCGATTGACATTTAGATGTACTTCTTTGGTACAATGGCTCGCTAGTTCATGGTTACCTTTGATAGTTCCAAGGAAGGAATTATCAACAGGGGTATATCAGAGAAGGATTACATTCTATTTGTTCCTTCATAAAGTCTCGTCCTGACACCCAAGTGCATCACATCATGTAAGCTACAAGCGGCTGGCTATAAGCCCCAAATCACGGAGAAATGAAGCTTCCCCACCTCACTGTCATTCTGTTATGTCATCTATATTTTAATCTGTACTACAATGAGCTGAACTAGCCACCTTGCGACCCGGTCTGCATGACTGTACATGAAAAGGCTCGTATTCGTTGGTATGTCAGCTCGCGTGAGGGACATCTCGAAAAGTGACAAGTTAGTTAATATATTGTTTTATGTAATCCAACGCAAACTAACTACTCCAGCTGTTGCCTTGCAAATCGCATCACATCCAAAATTCACTGTCTTTGTCCGAGTATTAGATACATAGTTTTCTGCTGAGGCCTTCCCGTTGAGAGCGTTAGCTGTACCAAAGGCAAAAAAGCATAGTTTCTAAGGAGGTCTCCCACGATAAGCCAAGGAAACCACTTATCTTACGGGCAACTATTTCGCCGCTTTGGCACTCGCCGTCCGGTAGAATGTGAATTATTTATGTGGGTCTCGCTCTGTATCGCAGGGAGATCAAAGTTAAAATACAAATCTAACGATTGCAAAAGGTGATAGGACGGAATATTCGGACTTGAGTCTGTTGATCTAGGATATTTCTACCACATTTATTCAGTTGAGGAACCACGCCGCAACTGTGCGCTAATGAAAATAATGGATCCATCAGAATAAGACATGTATTGTGGACTATCCGTCGTTCAACCACATTATGTCCCATATATAAGCTATACCAGTCTCAATCGGAAGGATAGTCAATTTTAGAAGCTTTTCTAGGGTCGATAATCAAACCAAAATTTTCAAGGGCAAAAAGGCTAGCACAGACCTTGACAAGGCCCTCATTCTGCTTCTGCCTTGTAACGGTACTGTATAAAACTGAATTGCTATAGTTGTGGTAGCGTATGTATTGCACAAAAGAAGGGAGGTAAGGTAGAAGAAAGCAGCCACCACCACATTTGTATCCGTAGGACTATTAAGTTTCTCAAAACTAAACATCAATTTGTAAATTGGCGCCTTTTAATATTGATTCTCCAAGCCTTCTGGAACTGCTATTCGGGGTCAAATTAAGGCTGGCTAACAGTGCGCCAGTGGCCTTACCCAGCGAACAAGCTCGAAGATGATCACTAAGGGAATAATGATCGCAAATTTACCATGGCCTCTTGGAGTGAGGGAACGCCTTGTATATTTCCTCGGAGTCTCTTGACAGCTTCATCAGTGCCATCATACAAAATGCAGACTAACTGTAAAAGAATTTGGTAGGTGTCCAATGCATCTCTCTGTGCTTTTAGCAAGGTTTCCTTGCGGCGTTTGTCCTTCGAGAAATCAAATACGCACTCAGAACCCGAGGCTGTACATCCCTGACAAGGCGTCGTACCGGTGCACTGTTAGTTGTCAGAAACCTGAAAAGAGAAGGAAAGGAACATATAATCACCTTTGCACGTTTCCTTTGGCAGGTCGTGCAAGCCGTAGTTTGTCGCCTTCGCTTCAAGACAGTACCGAAATTAGAGTCTCGTTGAGGGTCTTCCTGTATTGAGGTTTTAGGAAGTAAGAGTCTTGCTGAGTTTCCAGTATTTCTGGACATACCTAAGAATTATAGGAAAATAAAAGCTTGGCAGAAGTGGGTTGAAAAGTTATACACTGTTCCTTCTAGCTGACCAAGTTATTATATAGTGTTGCCTCTCTCCCGCAACTTATTTTCTTCTGCTTGCTTCTTTCTGTTTCCTTGCTTAATCATATAATCTCACTGACATCATAACTAGTGATCGTAGAGTTCAATCTATGTTTAGCATATTACATAAGAAGGAAATCCATAGCGTGAATAAACGGGTGGCCGAATAGTGAGAGACGCTTTACAAGAGTAACTTAGAATTTTGAAATAGAAAATAGCAACATATGACAAGAGTCAGGCAGATGAAAATATTGTATCAAATTTCCTCGGGCAGTGGAAGGAGTCTCATTTAAAAATTAGATTAACAAATATGACAAATTCAATCAGCAAATTAAAGCTCAGTAGCGTGAAATCCATACCATTAACCTTTTCCTGAGGCTAGCTGACGTCATTTTCTGAAAGGCTGATCTGCTATCCTAGGTCAGCTAGAAAATTGAGCCAAGGATGAGTTTGAACTCTTTGAGTTGAGCGCAAATCCCAGATGCCATGGCCAAGCCAGAGTACGAGTTCAATAGCTAAAGCTTTGCAACCTCGCTCAAGCCTGTTTACAATCACCTCGTACATCTCATTGTCAACTACCGAAATGCTGTCATCACCAGGTCGTGAAAACCTTAGCACTGCCTCAGCTTTTCAAAAGGCTCTGGATCATTATCCTGGTCGCTAGTTTAGGCATCTCTATGTACTTGGCTTAAATTTAATCTCCTTGTGCAACAAACTTAGTTGATCAATGCTCATAAAGCCCTGTCAGATGCTCGTCATACTAGAAATATTGCGTCCGGATTCCATGGTTATCATATTATGTAGGTCTCAAGACAGAGGCAATACAGGATCATACTGAATAAAATACTAGCTCTTTGATACCCACCAGTCTGAGCCTCATCGGATATTACGCACTGACCCTATAAGCCAGTATTTCCTCTCTTAGTGAGAAATACTTGCTTTTTTAAAGTATGGATATATTATACATAGAGATCATATTCTCACTCAACCTTGAGTGTAGTTAGCTAGCAGCACGCAGGTCACCTTAGCAAGACCTTTTCCAGTTTATATTACCGTACCCTTGGAGGCAGTTACCTATTAAACTGAATAGAAAGATGCCATCTGGCTCACAAACCTTTTGCCACAGTTAGTACATATAAGACGCCTGATTCTTTGGAAACAAAATCTCTACCCTCCGACTACATCTAACCTACATGATCGTCCTTTATGGCTCTTGTTGCTTTCAAAAAGGACTACTGTTGAACATGCGTATCATACGTCGATTATATCTGACACCAAGGTGCCGCCAGATCAAATCCACTTCCTCAAACTCTAGCGCTTCGATCACCACATCGATTCACCGTTATGCTAGCTCCAAAGATAGAACAACTCAGAATGGGGAATCAAACAGTAATGACTTGGTCGAAGATAAAGTAATTGAGAAAGACGTCAAAAACCAAGGTTAGTGACTAGGCATCCGAAGAGAGCGCACAAAATATCGAATAAGCGGTCAATCTATAATGGTAGAGGCAAAAATCATGAAACATTTTGAACACAGACTTCAAGTTGGCTAACAGTCATGGAAAAAAAAAAAAGGATCCTTATCTAAAAACCCTTCACATCAGACGTCCGCAGAACACAAAAGCACAGAAGGACAGCAGAAATACTATAGCCTTAAGAATTATCGAGAGGGGCCTAACACCGAAAGTGGTGAATTAGGCAGTAAACGTGATGAGGAAGGAGTTAAAGCACATAATAAGGATATGAAAGATAGGCATGACAGGTATTAGTTCTTGTCACAGTGAGACTCAAGGGTACTTACAAGATCCGACCGGGTAATGATTTACATCATTGAGAGCCCTGGCCGTAAGGATGAAATATATTATTCTTATCTTGCAATCGTAACTTTAGCAATTCTAAATGCAGTCCAGAAGAATGCATAAGGAGATGTGAGCAAGATGTACTTAAAATGTGCACTGAGTATCAGAAAGATAACAACAATCGCAACTATAATTATTTGATCCGCCAATTTTGTATTGCCCACCACTAGCTTATCGGCCATCGTTCTCCAACAGTTTAATCTTGGTGTTCAATTCCGTGACGCGTGGATACAACTCGAGAACCTTTGTTTGTAGATCCTGTTGTCCACAGTACCGTGCCCACGAATGGCAACAATATTTGTCAGCCCTCTGTTTCAAAACAAAAACTAAAAAGCTGGCTCTATCGCCCCAAGGTGGTAGCATAGTGGTCCAGCGCGGCCGGGTCACATCATGCGACACACATTACTACGTTGCGGAAAAGGAGGAAGGGGTCATGTCAAAACTTAATAAACCTTGTACGCACAATGATATCAATTTCGCTCGGTACTTTATATCTTGTGAACGTGTAATGGTACATGGATACAACGGCTGTCGTAGACCCAATGGAGAAACCGAGTAAGCTAACAGAATGCATTAGCCAACCGCAAAAAAAAAAAAAGGAAAAAAACAGAGCCTCCGTAGATGAGCCCACCTCCACCCTAAGGTGCTATTAATTAATGCTGGCATTGATCACGTCGTGAAGCTTAAGTTCTTGTTTGTGTTTAGAAGATGTGCCCGAAAGGCGAATAAGTCGAAGCAGGACAAATTTGTGGTCTA